TCAGGGGGCGGAACCACGCATGCACGGCGCTCCCGGGCAGGGAAAGTCCTCGACTTACGACCGGTTGGGTAGTCCTCGACTTATGACCGGTTTAGTCCTCGGCTTACAACCAGTTTAGTCCTCGACTTACGACCGGTTTAGTCCTCGACTTACGACCGGTTGGGGTCACAGCATTAGAAAGGTTGAGAACCACTGATGTAGGGGTTAACGAGGTAAGAGGAAGCAAGGTACAAAACTGGAAGCAACTTCATCAGGTTAAGCTCTTTCTTGACGTTCAAAAAAAGCCTTGCCTTACGAACCTCTTCCCTACACTAAGTGAAATTTGCTTTGCTTAATTAAAAGTGCCTACTTTACAAAAGTCTACAAATCCTGGAGGGAGAGCCCAAAATTGACGTGGCTAAGTGAGACATTTGTTAAAGCGAGTTTTGCCCCATTCACTGGAAGTTTTTAAGAAGAGACTGGACAGCCATTTGTCCTAAATGGTATAGGGCTTCCTGCCTGAGCAGGGGGTTGGACTCGATGACCTCCAAGGTCCCTTCCAACTTTATTATTAAGTGAATCAGTGCAGCTGTTAAGTTAGCAACATGGTAGTTAAGTGAATCTGGCTCCCTCATCAACTTTGCTTGTCACAAGGTTGTAAAAGGGGATCCCATGATCTTGGGACGCAGCGACGGTCCCAAGTATGAAAAGGTTGCCAAGCATCTGGATTTTGGTCAGATGATCATAGGCATGCTACAAAGGTCGTAAGTGCTCATAAGTTGCTTTGTTCAACGCCATGGTAACTTTGCACGGTCACCAAACGAACTGTGGGTAAGGTGAGGTCGACCTGTACATCTGAAACCATCAATTCAGCCAGGATCAAGGTGTGGTTGACTTGGAGAAGCTGCAAAACCACGTCTTGAAAGGAAAAAAAAAAAGCACTTCTAAAGGCCTATACCTGAAGTTGAAATTCAGGTAGGGACTAAATCGGCCAGTCTAATTATAGACTAAATTGTTTTGTTTTGGATATTTGAAGGAGCGGTACCTATTTGCCTTAGGAAGTCTTGTGCAATCTCAAGACTCCCTTTGTAGTTGGTTGCCAAGCCTCTGGTTTCTTTCTTTTCTTTTCTTTTCTTTTTTGCATTCCTGTGCTTCTGAATGGCTATGAAAATATGTCACTAACACCTGTCTATTTCACATTCTGCCCTTGAACCATTTTGGGGAAGGGGATAGCTGTGATGTAGGTTACGGCTGCAAATATTCCTTCTTATTACTATCACTTCTTACTAGTTGACAGTGGTTTTTTTTTTAATGTGTTCTGGAAGATCTTCCAAGGACTTACTTTAGTCTTAACCTGATGATAATGTTCACTTACAGTGCATGCTTTCGAGTGTTTTGCAGTGCTTCACTTAGGGCATTACTCAAGAGATGCTTATGATGTGAATGCTGCTGCGGCAGTTTAAGAAAAAAAGGGGTAATTAATTAAAAAACAAAAACTTACCAATTATTTAAAAACGTCCTGGGTCTTTTCAGATGCAACCCTTACAACGCCTTGTGTAAATATTTTGTGCTTTATGTTTTACGTTTTCATATCCTGAATAGTGATTCTCCTGTGTCCCTTTGGAGAAAAAAAAAACCTGTTGGTGCTTTTTCCTCTCTGAATATCTCCCATTTATCGCCGTTTAGAATTTAAGCCTCAACCAGCAGCCCTCTTCAGACATTTTAAAACTCATTCCACTTAATATTGCATGGCAAGAGAATAAGGCTATACGTTTTAATTCCAAGTAACAAAAGCCCCCTGAAGACACAGCCAGCTTGTGCAAACCATCCACTGTTTCTTATTGCCAGACAATGAATGCCTGCCTGGTGCTTTCTTTGGAGAAAGTTTACTAATTGGATTATCCAGTTTTGCTACTGATATCGAGAAGGTTTTCACTTGTATTGTGTGTCGGCAGAATACAGACTGATTACTGCCTTTGCCCCATGGTAATCTGAGTGCATTGTGAAGAAAAGTCCCCTCCAGGCCTCTGAGTTTGGTGTGTAACCATATGCATACATGAAAATAACCCTATTCCCCTCTCCCATCTGTGCTTAGAAATAACAGGAAAGCAGTGTTGGTTCTTTGGGCGGTTGCTGATTTGAAAACCCACACTTTATGCTAACTTGTTATTTGGCTATTGTGTCTGAATTCATGGAACACTGAACCACAGTGAAACGCTCCACTGCTTCAGGGAGGCCGTTTAGCTCTGGTTTTGTATTACGCTTCTACAGGTTTTTATGCTATATCAGTACTTGTTTTACCTCTTTCCTTTGCCGACTGCTCCAATTAGTTATATTATGTCAGTGGTGGCGAACCTATGGCACGCGTGCCCGAGGCGGCACTCAGAGCCCTCTCTGTGGGCACGCGCGCCACGCCACGGAGATGGCAACTGTCCCTCTTCAGCCGGCGCCCGCTAACTCGCCGAGGTCCCACATGGCCAGATGCATCCCAGCACCCATGCGTTTGCTGGCCTTTGTGTGCGGGGGCCGATGGTGTCAGGCAGCAGCCGCCCCGGCCCCTGCCTCACCTTGCCCTGTGACAATGGCACCCCTGCCCTGCCTCGCCTTGTCTCGCCTCACCCAGCAGGACGAGCCTGCTGCCCACCGCCCCACCTGCCAGAGACCCCCCTGGATCTCCCCCAACCCTGCCCGGCCCCCACAGGCGTCCCTCCCCAGGAGCAACATCGAGGTGATCATGCCCACCTTGGCCACACCCACCCAGTCTACCATGACCACCACAGCCACGCCCACCCAGTGGGCCACGCCCACCTGGCGCCCGGTGATAAATAAGTGGGTCTGGGGTTGCAGTTTGGGCATTCGGTCTCTAAAAGGTTTGCCATCACTGTATTACGTAATGGCTCTTTATTTCCTAGCTATTTGGTGCTTTCCCATCCCTCTTTTGTGTCTGTGTACGTGTCTCCCAAAGAACATCATACCTCATCAGCTGCAATGTTTTTGAGGGGGGAACAGATAAACTTTACACGTCATATCTGCAGTTTTGATGATGATGATGATGATTATTATTATTACTGTTAGTTTTTACATTATGTTGATATTAACTGCAGAATTAGTAACAATTTGTTTACCTTTAGTAGTACATTATACCTTAGAACTAAAATACTTCCTGGCATGGCTCCCTTTTCTCCTGAAATGAACCAATTACTTTTTAACTTTTCTATTTCTGTATCCTCAGGAACAAGTGATTCTTATGACATCACAAATAGAAGTCAGCATGTTCTGTCCTTTACCAGAACGTTGAACACAAAATTCCTACCCTAACCCACAAGCAAAAGCATAATATTGTGTTACATTTGCTCATCCATAGATCTGGAAGGCCTGCTTCTCATAAATCTTTTTTCAAGGAACCAATTTTGTTCCTGAACAATGTCTGCATTATACAAGTAACTGAAACTAAACTTCTGTCCCTTCCAATGGGTTTACATTTAGCTAAATCTTTTCCTTGTGAGCTAGCAAAAAAAACCAATAATAATAATCACCCAGCAATATGTTGTATAATTTTTTAATTAGCTGGATCCGTTGTACTTAATACTCAAGACTTTAACAGATAAAGTAATTCTAGGAGTTTTTAAAACACCTGCATTTAGACACCTTCAGAAATGATAAATTATACAAAGTGTGGAACAGGAATTTTTTTTTTGCTACGATTAAACTTGGGGCAGAATGCATGGCATTTTAATTGCTGTGTTTCATGGTGGAAATTCCAAGGATCTTATTGAAGCTTAGGAGATTTTACATATTTCTTCTAGCTTGATCTAACAAATGGATAACAACACATGTAACAACAACAACACATGTAACAACAACAACAACAAACTGTACTTTTCAGTTCTAATGAAATCAGCTTGTGAAGCAGTCAAGTTTTTTCAAATAGGCACGTGAAAAATAGCATTTTCGGGGCACAGTTGATGGGATTTAATTCTCTTTCCACCAACTCAGTTATTACATTAATCTGGCTGTTTGTTCTGGGTTACCTCCAATTCATTCAACAATAGTTAATGCTGGTCACAAAGTAATAAAACTGCAAACAGCATGCAGTAAAGGTCTGAATATCCTTAGCATAATTAGCAAGACAGTGTCATTCCCCCACCCACCCCCTTAGCAGAATACTTGAATAATAGGGATGTCCCAGACAAGGGGTTCCAAGCATGATCCACCCATTTTTTGGAAGCCTTCTGGATTGAGGTTCTTGATATCCATGTGGCATTCAAGATATCAATGCACCTTCATGATATTTCAGAAATCTTGAAAGACTTGGCTGTTCTGGTTAGGGTGCTTGAGATTCTGGTAAGGTTATTTGTAGGTATGTGTCAGCCAGACTTGCCAGTGAAAGATGTATGAATGTCTCTACAAACAAATAGGATAGAATTACAATCCTAGTGATCCCACCGCCTTCACTTTATTGCAGTCAGAGATTCCATGACATCACAAATTCCTTGGATAAGTGACCAGCTTTTTTTCCTCTTTTTTGTTCCTTGTGTCTTCTGCAGGCTCTTTTCATTCCTTTTTGTATGCATGCCACTCTGTTACCCACCGAGCATTTCTATATTCCAACTGTCTCAACTTTTATTCCCCTTTCGTATACTTTGCTAAAGTTTATCCTAATGCAAAAACACAAATAGAAATGAAACAAAGCTAAAGAAAAAATGAGAGGGGGGGGGAAGGGGATGAAGGGGGTAGAACTATATAAAATTTGATGTATTTATATGTTATAGAAAAGTAATGTAATTGTTTTTTCTTTGAGGAGATGGTCGGCTAGTACCCCTAAACTGCATCCGAAGGATGTGGAAAAGAAGGTGATGGGATGTGTAGGATAGTTGGGAAGGAAGAAGGAGGAGAGAGGTGTGGGTAGGAGGGGAAGGAAGGAAGAGGGAAGTAGGTAGGAAGGTTGAGGGAGTGAGGGTGGATGCAGGGGGGGGGACTGCCGATCATTTCTGAAAATATACTTAATAGGTTTTCTTTGTTTGTTCTTTTTTAATGAAGTACACCACATTTGTATTATTTGTTTAGATGTTTATCTGAAAATTAATAAAATTTGCAAAAGCAAAATGAGAGGTGCCGAAAGAAACTGACTTCTGATACTTTTTTTTAATGCAACAGAAAACAAAAACAAAAAAAGTTACAGTCAACCCTTTGTTTCCTATTTTTCTATGACAAAGTTTCAAGCCATTTCTACAGCAGCGTTTGAAGTCATTTCTATAACAATGTTTCAAGCCATTTCTGTAACAAGCATTTCAGCTTTTCCTCCCGATAATGAGGATGCTGATTACTTTACAAGCTGCCTTCAGGTTCCTGAGCAACGTTGACTAGCTGTTATTTGACAGAACATTGCTGCATGAAGTGCATGAAGTGCCCAGCGTGACTGTCCTGCCCCATAAATTCGATCTAATGTGGAGCAGTACAATTAGCCGCCCGTGCCAATTTCCTTACTTGCACTCAGTCCAATTTGCAGGATCCAAAGTTTTTGTGGATGGCAAAAGCAGCATCTTATTGTTGTGACTCAGGGCCCATCTGTTTGCATACGTGTGCATCATCCCCAACACATGGACCGAAAAGATGGAATAATGCTACTTCCATCATTTATCCCTCTTGCAGATGCCTCTGTTTGCAATCTTCTGGTAAAACTATATGGGGTGTGTGCATGCATGTGTGTGCATGCCCGCCTCCTGCAAAATCTGTAATCCTTTCAGTGAGATGCACCAATCCAGTATGCATATGCTTCAGGTTTCCCTGAAAACCCTTGCATTGCTCTAAGGAGAACTTTATATGATATTGAAAAGGTTATGCTTTGGATTATTTCATAATACTTCCAGAAACTGAAATTTTTCTCCCTGGCCCAAGAAATTAGTCCTGGAAATATTGTACTATTGCTTGGNTTAGCATGTCTATTATTCAATTTTCAGCCTTAAAATTAGCAAGAAATTCCAAAATGCCGAGGCTTATGGCAGTTTTCATATATTTCCCCTCCATCTGTAGCCTATGGTGAGCTCCCCTGTGTCCTGAGTGCTTAGTCTGTGTAACTCCAAATATCACAGAATGCCTGGAGGAGTCTTCCCTTTCCACTCGTTGAAAATTTTCAACATGACAGTACTGCAGTAGGGGTGGAAACATTTTGAAACATGTTCTACAGATAGAATGGGAATGTGGATGTGATATCTCCATCTCCTACTTGTAAATATCCCAGAGGCTTTTGATTGAGCTCTGTAAGAGGCAAAACGTTAGACTAAAATGGCTCCTGGCTTGGTCAATGGGGCCATTCTTACGTATTTCTTAATAATTAGCCTCTAAAGAAAGCTAGTCCTATTTGATAGTTTGGAAATGCTAGCCAGGTGTTTTTCTGGCAGGATGGTATTGTTGAAAGCGATATCCCTCCATTTTTAACCTCTTCATTTCCTCTTCTTTATCATTTCCCCTTTAGTATATCTGGAACTATAAATTTTAAGATAAAGGGCCATCTGTTTTAGCCCCAGTTATGGCACTTTCTTGATGAGTCTAATACATATGTTGTTTGCTCTCTTAAAAGATGCTGCTTTTGGAAGTGTTTTTTCAAAGGTCACTAAATTATACCCAGTCCTCAGATTTGCCATCTGTTGCCCCTTGGCTCTTAACTCTGACCTCTGCTATTTATTTGAGCTATCTAGATTGTACATTAACTTAGATAAACATTTGTGTCCAAGATGGCTTGCTAATAAAGATCTACCTTTATTTATATGGCTTGTCTAGAAGTAAACAATTGTGTCCAAAGTAACCTGCTAATAAATTAAAGATCTATTTTTATTTGTTTATATTGCTTTTACAGAAGTAACCATTTGTGTCCAAGGCAGCCTGCTAATAAATTAAAGATATTTGTTTGTTTGTTTGTTTATATTGCTTTTATGAATAATGTCTATGGAATTGTAACTCTGAATTATTACAATGATATCTTGTACTTTGGTTATTCCTTTATTTTCTCCCCTATTTGTTTCATTTTTTTAAAAGCACTTTTTATGTGTGGGGTTCCTTCCCACCACCTTTCTTTGAAAATGTAAAATGTTAAAGATGTGTCTTAAGGCAAAAAGCACACCTTTGCCTTTGTTTCAATCCGTGCCTTTTTCCATTTTCTCTTTAGGTACATTCCACCTTTGATCTGGGGAAAGAGTGGGCACATTCAGACTGCCCTTTACGGGAAGATGGGGAGAGTAAGTTCACCACATCCTTACGGGCTTCGCAAGTACCTCACCATGTCAGATGGTGCCACAGCCACTTTTGACCTCTTTGAACCACTAGCTGAAAACAGCAGCAAAGGTTAGCCTGTGCCTATCTATTCTTTCTCGACCCGGAAGTTTGAGTAAATATTGGCAGAAAATACCGGCTGCAACATTTACTCCCACGGGAGAGACTGGAGATTTATTGGGTTTATAATTCTGGCCTAAGTTTCAGCTTTTGGTCTGGTGGCCTGACTTTTGAACCTCTGGCCCAAGAGCTGGCTAGGTGGTGTGTACAAATACGAGATTATTTTTATAGCCCTCAGATAAGAGGCATTGCGTCAAGAGTTCTTTTTTAGGGCTAGAATGTCAAATGTTATTCCTGTTACTCATAAAGATGACTCCTGTGAGATAGGCGGCTATATACAGATAGTCCTCAACTCACCAAAGTTCATTTAGTGACCGTTCCAAGTTACGACGGCACTGGGAAAAAAAGTTATGGCCATTTGTCACAGTTAACCTTTGTAGCACCTCCGTGGTCATGTGATCAAAATTCAGAGGCTTGGCAACCGGTTCGTATTTTACGACCGTTGCAGTGTCCCGGAGTCATGCGATCCCCTTTGGCGACCATCTGACAAGCAAAGTCAATGGGGAAGACAGATTCACTTAACAACCGGGTCACTAACTTATCAGCTGCAGCGATTCACTTAACAACAGCGATTCACTTAACAACATCTCCGAGACCGCCTTCTGCCACAGATTCCCTCCCATAGACCGGTACGCTCCCACAGAGTGGGTCTCCTCAGGGTGCCGTCGGCCAAGCAGTGTCGGCTGGCGACCCCCAGGGGGAGGGCCTTCTCTGTGGGTGCCCCCACCCTCTGGAACGAACTACCCCCCGAGATCCGGACGATTCCGGACCTCCTTACTTTCCGCCGCGCCCTCAAGACATGGCTTTTTCAGCAAGCGGGCCTGGCCTAGGGAGGATTTTAAATTGGGTTTATTTTAGGTGTAATTTTTAAATAATACAACTTTAAATATTTGGTTTTAATTGGTTTTACTTCGGTGGGGTTGTAGGCGTGTCTATGTTTTTAATATGTTGTGAGCCGCCCTGAGTCCCGTCGGGAGAAGGGCGGGATATAAATCAAAATAAATAAATAAATAAATAAATAAACTGTGGCAGGAAAGGTCGTAAAACGGGGCAAAACTCACTTAACAAATTTCCTGGTTTAACAACAGAAATTTTGGGCTCCACGGTGGTCGTAAGTTGAGGACTACCTGTCAATCAATCAATCATTCAATCATGCTTGGGATTAAGGTCTGTTAAATAGACTGTAAAGACTGGGATCCCCCCCACCCCCGGTGAGGAGCTTAATTAAATCTGAAAGCTGTTTTGTTTGCTTGAGAGAATTCACCCTAATCTTATACGTGAAGTTGTCCGTTGGAAAAGGAAAAGACGCCATTGGGTTTGAAGTATCCAGGTGTATTGGAAACTTCTGCCCGATGTCTAAAATATGGTCCTCTCCAGGGCCTTCCTTTTGCCAAAACAGCACGTGGCTAGTTCTTGCAACAGAACCTCGAACAGCAGATGCTTTCCAAAGTAACACTCTGCTCTTAGCTGTAGCTTAATTATTGCTTTGAAAGTATTATTTCCTCTTCCCCCAAAGGATACCATACTTTCCATTTGTCACACAGGCGTGAAAAATACAGACCAAAACCAAATCCCTTCTCCTCCGGTCTTCTTTCTCCTTCTCCTAAAGAATATTCTTGAGAAGGGAAAATGTCATGAGGCATTCACGTGAAGTGTTAATACCACTTTACAAGGCCTTGGTAAGGCCACACTTGGGATACTGTATCCAGTTTTGGTCACCGCGATGTAAAAAAGATGTTGAGACTCTAGAAAGAGTGCAGAGAAGAGCAACAAAGATGATTAGGGGACCGGAGGCTAAAACATGTAAGGAATAGTTGCTGGAATTGGGTATGTCTAGTTTAACGAAGAGAAGGACAAGGGGGGACATGATAGCAGTCTTCCAATATCTCAGGGGCTGCCCCAAAGAAGAGGGAGTCAAGCTATTCTCCAAAGCGCCTGAAGGCAGGACAAGAAGCAATGGATGGAAACTAATCAAGGAGAGAAGCAACCTAGAACTAAGGAGAAACTTCCTGACAGTGAGGACAATTAACCAGTGGAACAACCTGCCTCCAGAAGTGGTGAATGCTCCAACACTGGAAGTTTTTAAGAAGAGACTGGACAGCCATTTGTCTGAAATGGTGTAGGGTTCCTGCCTGAGCAGGGGGTTGGAGTCGATGACCTCCAAGGTCCCTTCCAACTTTATTATTATTATAAGTAATACAAGCCTCATTCATAAGAGGTTCAGAGCAGCTAATCTTACTGATAGCTTATCCCAAGTTGCTTTAAGACCACCACCTCCAATTTGAAGCTTCTCAGAGGTAGTGGAAGAATTCCCTGCTCACAGAGCCAGTGACTGTGACAGCTTAAAGTTAGAGTTCACATTTGACAGGCATCAACTTAGGAAAACCGCTTTAAAGCCTTTCTGAGAAAAAACAGGAGATAAACATTCTGGTGTGTGTGCATGCATGCTTTTATTTTCCCCTGGTTGCTGCTTGCTTGCAGAAATTAACTGAAAAAAAGCCTAATGAACCTGGCTATGAGATAAATAAAGAGAGGGGATAAAAAAATTCTTTCTGGAATTTTAACAACTAGTCACATTTAGAGAAGTCGTCTTTGTCAGCGGCTGCTAATTGGAGAAGTTGTTTTCAGCGATGCTTGCAGTAACTTGTCAAAATAAATTCTGGGTCATTTTAAAGAGCTTGGGTAAACAAACTGAAGTTGCGTCATGGATGTCGTGTTTCCTCTCTCTGTGTTGTACTGTGGCATAATAAATTGCCACATTCTGAGCAAAAGTATGTGTGTTTGAGAGAGAGGGAGGGGGTGGAGAGAGAGAGAGAGAGAGAAGAAATGTAAAATTTGCTTTGTTCTGAAATTAGTCTCCCTAGATTAAAGTTAGCGAATGAAATGTCATTTTGCATCTTCCATATCCAACTTCTTAAAATTCTCCCTCTCCGATGTTTTTATTCTCCAGAAGATATCACAATGGTCATCTGCCCTGGAATAGCTAACCACAGTGAGAAGCAGTACATCCGAACCTTTGTTGACTATGCTCAAAAGAAGGGCTACCGATGCGCTGTGTTAAATCACCTCGGGGCCCTTCCAAATATTGAGCTGACTTCGCCACGCATGTTCACGTATGGTAAATATTGGCTCACTCTTCCGTCTTCCTCCTGTCAGCGTTAGTTCCTTGCATGCCTCTGTTCCTAGTGTCCAAGGTACGGGTGGGTCTAATTTGATCAATGGCTCAGCTCACACTTTTACAGTAAGCCCTAATGAGCTTTGCTTGGTTTGCTCTGACCATGTGAATCCAATCAGGATTGTGGTCTGTTAAAAAATTTTAAGTATATATTGTTAAATCATGCTAAGGAACAAAATATGGCAGAAGGTTAATTCAATGAAAAAAAAAAGACTTTTTTTCAACATGGGCATGTTTCTATACGCATGAAGAGAAAGGACAGAGAGAGCTGTTTTCTCCTAGGAATATACATGCAATGCCATAGCATCAGTTCCTTTAGCTTGACTCAGGTTATAGTGCCAGAAAACAGAGTGAGACATAGCTTGCTATAGGACTCTTGGAGAGTAGCACGCTGATACTTCTTAAAACCCAAAGGATAGGAGTTAGCACCAAAGGAAGAATTTGTTTTTCCATTGAAATCTTGTTGGTTCCTGCCATTCCTTGTATCCTGTTGTTTATGATGAGTATGTCAATTCTCTAGTGTGAAGCCTTTGGCATCACTTTTTTAAAAAAAATTAATTATAGTCTGTAGCCTCAGGAGATTATTCTGGAGTGTTATTGAGCAATCAAAATGTTACTGTAATGTTCTGCCCTATCTTCCATTTCTCTTATGCTTTATTTACCCATACTCAGGTTTGACACTTGAAAACAAAATCCTGGTAGAAAGGATTTTGCCTGTTATGCACCTGAATAGATAGCAGCTTGATTCCAGCCCTAAAACATTGTACATATAACTTTCCACAAGTTCACACCTTTAAGCTGGAGGACCCTGTTGTTCTCCAGATGTTGATGAACTTTGGCGTCGAGGAGCTGAAGCCGGTATGGCCAGTGCTAAGGAATGTTGGGCCTTGGCCATATCTTGGGTTTCCCACCATACCTATTGATCAAATGTATTAATATTGCTCCTGATGTGGACTTCCAATTCCCAGAAATTTCCAGCCAGCATGTCTTTCTTTTCACTGTTTCATAGGTTGCACCTGGGAATTTGCCGCTATGGTGACCCACATCAAGAAGACATATCCTCAGTCCAACCTTGTTGTTGTTGGCTTTAGCCTGGGTGGAAATATAGTGTGCAAATATCTTGGCGAGTCCCACATTAACCAGGACCGGGTGCTCTGTTGTGTCAGTGTGTGTCAGGGGTATAGCGCATTGAGGTGAGTTGTCTTCTGAGCAGGAGGACAGTATGGTTGCCATTGTGTTTCCCCAAAAATAAGCCTGGGTTTTATATTAATTTTTGCTCCCAAAGACTAGGGCTTATTTTTCAGGGGAAATATGGTCTTATTTGGGGGAAAATATGGTACTAAATGCATCCGTCTGGCTGACAATCTTAACTGGGGCTTAATTTTGGGGTGGGGCTTATATTACAAGCATCCTGGAAAATCACGCTAAAGTTTATTTTCCGGTTGTGTCTTATTTTCGGGAAAACATGGTAGGTGCTTTTGCTGAGGGTAGAGGAAGTAAACCATTTCTGCATTTCTTGTACCGAACTGCCTCTTTCTAGTCCTTTCGCAAGATTCTGTCTTTTCGGAAATTATGACATTAGGAGGCAACCTTCAGTAGTAATCCCAAATCTGTATCAAATGCAATAAAGCAAAGACTGCAATCAGACTAGAAAATCTAAATATATTACAGATAGGAAATTATTATAGAAATATAAAAGGAATTAAAAGATCTGAAAGAGTAAAGACAGTTGCCTGCTGCTGGAAAGAAAATACTACTTCTTTAGGAGGGTATTTTATTTTTCTTGGGCAAAAACCTCAAGTGATTTTTCAGTCTGGTTTGGTTCAGTCCAACACTAACAGGAATACAACCATCATCTTAATCTGTCCAGTATTGGTTTATCATCCCAATACACGTATTTCATGGGTTAAAAACCTCTCTTGTGTTTGATTTCAATTTGAAAATGGCTAATTTGGCCCCAAATGCTATTGAAATCCACTGCTACAACTCCATCGTAACTAAATAAAAAGTAGACTGGCCAAAATTAAGGGGCTTTATTTTAGAAAGATTATACAGCATATAGATCTTATTAATGTACCAAAAGCACATTAATTGTCCAGTAGAATTGAGCCATATCCATATTAAAAAATATATCAACTCAGTTTGACTCTTAGTTTCTCACAGATTTTATATTTCAGGCGACGAAGTGGCCGAAATTTTGTCCAGATTAAATCTTGAAAAGCAATAGGATTAGAACAGTGCAAGCTTTATATTTTACATCTTATTTTGTCCGTCCTCAGACTTATCAAATTGAACTGGAGGAAAGTGGGAGGATACTGTACTTAGTGGGAAAATGGATCTGACACCTTATGGCAAACACCTTGATAAGATGATGTTGCATGTTCCATACGTACGCAGTTAAGAATTTGGAAGACCATAATATAACACAGAAAAATTTTGCTTAAACCAAGTAATTGGTCTAAGTGATGATGTAATGTATTCCCTGCCCAAACCTGGCTACATATCAAAAGAAGCTTTCAAGTCAGCTTCTGTATTGATCTGTACGTACTTGGCCAACTTTTGCAACGTCTGATCCTCCAGCTGATTTTAGAAACGACACTTTGAGACAATATAGGACCATGTACTCTTTTCGTAATTTTTTCTTTTGCAAGTTTGTTGGCAGCTTCATATTCCTGTTTTTGAGGATATTGTTCCCTCTAATGGTTGACTTTTTAATAGCACTTCTCTGTCATTGCCTAAGCTGTGGAACTACGCCTAATCCTCAACACATGCCTCTAATGGAGATTGCCCTCTATGGTTGTTAAAAGAACACAGACAGCATTGTTCATTAGGGCCTGGTTTTGCCCCAAACCAGAAGTGCCAGTTTTTAGCAAAACTCTGCCGAAACTCGGTCATGTGCTTGCAGGATGGCCATCAAGGCAGCCATGTCGCTGAGGTACAGCCACATGACCGTGGGTGGGGTGACAGCCATCACTTCAGAATCAGGTCGTACCTCCCCCTTTTCAGATAACTCGTAACTTCAGATGGTCGCTAAGCAATCAGTTGTAAGTCGAGGACCACCTGTGTTGCTAGCCCCTAGGAAAAGATTTAAAGGAGTGATGTTGCAAGTTAGCGTCTTGTCACCATGACCGGACAATAATGTTCATTAACTGGGTTTTATTTATTTATTTTCCTCTCTACCATTGTTAGGGCCCAGGAAACCTTCATGCAGTGGGACCAGTGCCGGAGATTTTACAATTTCCTCATGGCGGACAACCTGAAAAAAATAATCTTGTCTCACAGGTGTAGAAATATATCTTATTTTGCTCTAAATGTACGGCATGCTGTGTTGGGTGGATTGCAATTTTTACCGCTCCAAGCTAGTTAGTTTTAATCAGGTTGGATAGATTATGTACTCGATTCATCTGGATGAAAACTAGGGCATTTAGCTTAAGAGATAGTCTGTTATGACCGGAGACTGGAAAATAGAATTTTTTTAAAAAAATATCTTTTGGCACATTTTTAGATCAGCAACTGTATGAAATACTAATAATTGTAACGGCTGCTGTGATTCCTCCTCAAGGCTTTCATGGCAAAGAGCAGTGGGGAAGGAAAATCTTTAGGGCATTAAGAGTCTCTTATGGTTTACAGGGTACTGAATCTCCTTAATTTGTCCCAGATATCCAAACATTTGGACAACTGCAGATATTTTAATCTTCCTCTTTTAAAAGAGTCCCCAGTCTTAAGTACAAGCAATCCTTTGCAAATCTGAAGGATATCTTGTTAATCTGCCAAAAACATTTTGTCTCCATAATAGATCTTTTGTGCTGTCGTGCAACCCCCGAGCCAAATTTCCCCAAATGTTTTTGTGCTCTACAAGTAC